AGCTGAGCTTGTTGTGGGGCAGTATATCGCACTTACAAGATGTGTGTGCTTCTCCTTGGCTCTTCCTACTATGACTGCACGTAGATAAAATTACCTTTATACCTATTTTATAGAATTTAGGCATTAACGACGCGGATGTTACAGAGGTTTGCATATAGTCTTTACTGGAAACACACTGATCCTCTTCCTAGTTTAGCAACAGGGGTTTGTTCAGGACCAGACTCAAAGATGATCAAAACCAGCCCTTCTTTCCTGGAAGTTTCCACCCACCCCACCAAATTTCCAGTCCTAGTAAGGATCCACTCATGAATCGATTAATGCATTGGTTAAGTATTAGGGATGAAGGGATTGGTTTAAGAATAGAGTTAGGGAGATGGTGATGGTGATATGCCCTGGAGCAAAGGATAGAAGTTTGAGAGTAAAGGTAAAGGATCCTTTAGCAGAAAATCACTTTTGAATACCATTATAATGGTAATGGAGTTTAGAAACTTCTTCTTTCATGTTGTACCTAAGAAAGTTAGGAAGGGTCATATGTTTCTGTGTGGCTCAGTCGGTTGAACATCCAACCTTGATTTCAGCTTGGGTCATGATCTCATGATTTAGAGTTTGAGCCCCACGCTGGGCTCTCTACAACAGTGGAGCCCAAGCCATCTCTCTCCTCTCTGCCCCTCCCCGTTCTGTGGCTTTCTCTCTCTCTCTCAAAATAAATAAAAAAATCTTTATTTTACTTAGAATTCCAAGAAAAGAGAGTACTGTTTATGAATGCTGACCATTAATTCCTATCATCTATTTAAAGTGCTTTTATTAAATGATGGGATGTGTTTAGTAGGTGCTTGATGTAGATGTAAACTGGGAGTACTTATATCTTTTACATTAAAATTTGGGGGAAATATCCTGTTGGTTTGTTGATTAGGTTCATGCATTTTCAAGAATGTGTCACCCGCTCAAATTTCCCTAAACCTTACCCTTCGACATGAACTACTTTGCTAAGAATGTGGCATGTGACCTTGCTTGTGTGCTTTTATAACCTAACGGTGTGGTCACGCCACTGAAGAAGGCCCCTTATTGTAAGTGTCTATCAGTTCAGGATTGCCAGATTCTAATGATTGGGTCATGTGGAGTTCTTTCATTTTTTGCTTTATTGAGAACGAGAATTATCATATCAGGGCTATGATATTCTGTATTCTCTCTAAAGTATTTTAATACATGAGGCTCATGTTCAATGTGCCATTGTCTTTAAAATTTGAGCTTTTTTCTTCTTCTTCCACTTTTTGTTAATT